TAGTACCATGTGCAAACTGTGTGACCTCAGGGAAGTTCCTAAACCTTTCTGGGCCTCAGTCACTGGTTACCCCATCTTTAAATGAGAATAATAACATGCTGTAATTGATCTTTCCTAAAATATATTTTCAAAATCAGTATCACCGTTATCAGAATGTATCTTATAATTAATGGCATGTCATAGTTTAATTGACCATGTTTTACTTTCTGAATGATACATAAGAGTGGTAAGCCTTTGCAATCAGTGTTGTCTTAGAGACACAGAAATATAGTTTTACTTCATATAGGCGGCTGTACAGATTAAGTGAGATGGTACTTAAAAATGTTAGCTTACCTAAATATTCAGTAAATGGTAAGCTTAATTTCTTAATATCATTTGTTTTCAGTGTTAAGCTTTTCATCACTAACATGCAAATAATAACTCCAATCTCATAAGGTTCAGTGGGAAGCCAATCACAGCTGGGGTTAAAGTATCTGACATAGGACCTGCCAGGAAAGTAAGTGTGCAGTCATTGTTTGTTCCTCTGCTCATTGTGGGTTCAGGTTGCAAACAGTGGAAAAAGATCATGGCCAAATGAAGCAGGAGACAAATTCGTTGGAAGGGTAAAGGGAATCTCGTATCTCACAGAACTGATGGGAAAAGCAGAGACCTAGGCTTGAAAAGTAATAGGAATTGGAGCGGCTCCAGTCCCAGCAGCAGCACACACAACACATGCCTATTGGTGGAGCATTCAGGTGAAGCCACGGTGTCCAGCGTCAATGCTGTCTCTGTCCCCACGGACCCAGCCAGTGCCACGGTCACTACCACGAGAATGGGACTGTTGACACTGCTGCTGCAATTGAACCTTGGCTGGCCCCTGTCCTTGGGAGCAAGGTTTCCATTGACTGACTGAGGTCACAGCTTGCTTCCTGTCTGTGCTAGAGGACTGCTTGTGGGAGCTAACGGAGGGAAGTGGGCCCTGAGAACCATTTTTGGTCCAGATAATGTACACAATGATATAGGGGTCATCCTCCGCCAGGGAGGTTTTTCAGAAAAGAGTTGAATAATGGACAGCTAAAACACTAAAAGCAACAACAACCATATCATAAATTTGTACTAGATTTCTGCTCCTAAAACAGACCTTGGAACCAGGCCATTGATTTAGCATTCCCCCAGTGAGAATGCTGGTAATGTATTAAAAAATATGCAAAAACAGTAAAGAGAGTGAAGGTCTGATATGTATTATACAAAGAGAAAATTCTACCTCTGACAAGTATAAAGAAAGTATTTTAGGTGTTAGGGGACAGAGGAGCTACCAAGTTAGCAGGGCAGTATGTAGGTATCAATGATGACTTCCCAAACTTCCCTAAATCTACTTATAGGAGAGGGTATTTGGAGAAAAGGCCTCATCTGAACCATAAAATTATGATTTAAGGGGTTTTCCTTCAGGAGAGCACAGGGAGGTAGCTGGTAGAGGTGACAGAACTGAGAAACTTGTATAGGAACCTGTGAAGAGTTCAGCCCAAGGGACCTTTGCCTTGGCTCTTGGCCAGACCTGAGTGTCTTTGAACTTCACCCTGAAGTGAATGCTGCACCCTCACTTAAATCAGGGGGCATGTTGGCTACTCTCCTCTATTATAACCACTTTGAAACTTCACACTTTCCCCCTAGAATTTCTGCAAAGGAAAGTAGAAGTCAGTAAGTTGTCAGGAGGACTCTGCTATGTGTCCACTAAGGCTTTCCATGCATAGAGAAAAGGAGCAACGTCCTTCAGAGACAAGAGCACAGGCTTGGAAACAAAACACATCTGGCGTCAAATCCTACCTTAGCTGTTGGACCTTGGGCTGGAGTTCTGCTCCTCTGACTCCCACTGTAGTTACAGAAGGTGTTAACTACTTTGCAATGGTTTGATCGGACTGGGAGAAGGCATGCTAAATACCTGGTGCATGTATATGCCACCTAGTTTCTTCCACGGATGTTAAATTGTGTGACTATCTTTTGTCGTTGTACATATTTGTTTTTATTTCTCAGTGACTGTTGGAATGCTTGCAATAATTTATGGCACTTTCCTAAAACCTGTGAAGGTCATTGAGAATCTGTTTCCCATTTGACTTTTATTTTCTATACCTTTGATCAACTTATGGTACCTTGCTGTGTTCTAAGGATGCTGTCTTAAAATATTTCTGCAGCAGTCAGTACATCATCATCACTATGAGAGATCGGGAAATTCTCATATAAAAGGTTAACAGGGCAGCCTAGAAAGGGTAAACGGGATTGAACACTACTGGTAGAAGGCGTGTTTTCATTGAGTACTGCATTCATTATTTTCCAGTTTTGGGAAATTGTGCCAACACAGTAATGTCACTTACCACACATACTTGGCTCAGAGAACGGAGCTGATAATCCTGGCGGGGTGAATACTCTGTATTCCCTGGAAATCCAGGAGAATAAATGTTAGGTCACCCCGACAAGGTGTTCTTTCCTCCGGCAAGGGAGCTCCATACCACATTCCCCACCCCCTTGAGCTGGTCCCATCCTGAGTCTAGTCTCCCTTCCTTAGAGAGCTTTGCAGGCTGGGCATCTGACAAGCGCCCTTCCAGCAGGTGACGGAGAAGGGGTCGCAATTTCAAACCTATGTGACATCTGTTCTCTTGCTGTTTATGTTTCTTGATCCTATTGAATATAAGATTTTATTGTAAGCCATCTGGCAACCTCTTATAAACGAGATGTAAATAACCAAGTCTTGGAAGATTTCACTTCTGTCACTCCAATATTGGTAAGTGGGCGGTCCACCTAATAAACAGTTGTTTTCCTCAGGAAGAAGAGATAATCACAGATATGAATGCAAAACTGAGAAAAAATATATAATTTTTAAATATTAAATATATTTAAGAATTGAATTAGGGATATTCTTCTACTCTCTGGGGGAAAATAGTGGCCTTTGATGAATCTTCTAACATCTGATAAAGCAGCAATTTTCTAAATAATTTTTTATTCATTTAAAGAAAAAAAAAGAACAAGAGCCATAAAAAAAATAAATGCAGTGTTTTCTGGTTTCCAGGCACTGTACAGGCACTTCCTATATGTTTTTTCATTTAAACTCTAAAACAACCCCCCCAAAAGAGACATTTTTATACAATGAGCAAAGTGAGGCTTAGAGAGGTTAAGTAATTAGTCCTCGGTCACACAGCTGGTAAGTGGAAAGCTGAGAGTTAAGCTCAGCTTTTAGTTTCACCTCCAAGTCTAAGCTCCTTCCCTATGGCAGGTTCATACAGACTAAAAGGGCTACATGAAATGTAGAGAGAAGCTCTAGATATCCCCAAATCCCACAGCAGAACAGGAAATCACTGCAAAAAAAGAGAAATGCACAGGCTCCCAGGCATGCACAGCAAGCAGGAAATCGCACTTTCCCATGAGCTGGGCCTGCCAAAGAGTATTGCTTAGGGGCCTGCCTGCCAAGGACCAGTGGGTGGGGTATGCTCCAGGCCCTACCCATTCCCCCTACAAGCATGATTTACTAAGGGTCCAGCATTCAACCTGTCTGTGTATCATGGTTGGAATCCGGAGCTAGGGGAGACACCTCTTATGCAACACACTGCCAGAAGCTTCCAGCCCCTGACTCTAGAATTTTGTTTCTGTGGTGGTTTTTGTTGGGGTATTCCTGTGGAAAGCAACCCCCGCACAGCACATTGACAGGTTATGTGCAAGAATCTCCTGTCCCATGCTGGGGTGAGTGCTTACGTGTCTGCTAACATTCAGATGTCCAGCAAAACTGCAGAGCCGTTCAATATCTGTGCGAGTTCCTTGGAACACTAGAGCTGTTGCAGGGAAGAAGAGAGGGTGTGGACCTCTCTCCAGCCCATGGTACTTCATATATGTTGCTTTGAAGCCTTAGAAACTGGAAAATGAATCACCTTTATGACTTGGCTCTTAAAGCTGGAAGCCTCCTGAAAAGGGCCTTTCTTACCAAGAGAGGGCATCCGCTACCCCATCCAAATCCCTGATCACTGTGCAGAAGGGGGATGCGAGAACCCAGGTCCCTGGCTTCAGATTGCTACCTTCTGAGTCAGTTCCGCGTGATGTGTTTGTCTTTCACAACTTTCTGATTAGCAGAACCGGAGAACGTGTTTGGACCCAGACCCTCCAGGTGCTCAGCTGGTTTCTGGAAGCCTGGTGATACCACAGCCCCCTTCACCAATTTCTCTTGCAGTGGGAAAGAACTCACTTTTAATCAAACATCCACCATACACCAGGCACTTAATTTAATTCCACAACCCTTTGAGATAATAGTATAAGCTTCTTTAGGCAAAAGAAATTAAAGTGGCCTAGAGGTCACTTTGCTAGTTAAAACCGGAGTCACGAATGGTCCCCAGGTGTTCTGATTTACAGGGCAGTGTTTTTCCTGCCACATCACACTGACGCGACTCCTTTAACTCCACACACTCAATCACTCTGTGAGGAACTCGTTTAATAAACATCTTTGGAGTGCCTGTTATATGCTACATATGGTGCTGAGCACCGAGGTACAGTGAGCAAGACTAAGTTCTCACCAAGGTTATAAAATACTTGGGAGAGAGGTACAGTGGATTAGGATTGTGTTGAGGGCTGAGGCAGTGCAGTATTAAATGAGCGTCAACATACAGCAAGGACACAAACTAGCCTGAGAGGGATGGTGGGAGTCACAGGATAAGTCTCTGAATGAATGAAGTGTGAGGGGTGAGTGCGAGTGGGATTAACCAATGAAGATGAGCGGTGTGGGGAAAGCAGACCCCTCGTCAGGCAGACAGGGAAAGTGCATGCAAAGGCCCCAAGGCCTGGAAGGGTTTGTGCTGTTCAAGGAACTGCATGCAGTTTGGTTTGGTTGGCGTGTCTCTCGATTGCTCTGAATCACATCAACTTCGCTAATAAACGTAGGCCGATAGACTCCTCATCTGCTGAGAACAAAGAAGACAGGGGCTCCGATCGGAAGTCACTTTCACGAGTAAGAATGGTTTCGTTGTGTTTTGTTTTGTTTTGCCTAGAGTGGATCCAAGAGCAGGAAAAGAGGTGACCTTCGAGCTCAAGAAATACATGACAATCCCCATGAAGTTACTGGAAAAGGGATGAAAATAAAGGTAAGCTCCTCACTCATCTGTTACCATTGTTTTAGCCACCACATTGACCCGAATGTTATTTTCCTCTGAACCCCAGAGTTAATGATATTTAAACATTATTCTTTTATGTGATATATATGCACATATGCATGGTGTATTAGGACACACATATACATATTCAGGTGTCCTAATGGATACACCTGCTCCCTTAAGCCCAGAAGGGGTTCTCCATGGTTCTCCATGGATCCTTCCCTAGCCCTCTAATATGGACTTATCTTTATCCTCTTACTCCTGGCTCCCAAGGAAATGGTAATGCATTTTCCTTCGTTTCCATTGACCCAAAACTCCATTCTGAAGGGAACTGGTAGGAAGGAGATTAACATCTCTTGGGCACCTACTGTGTAACAGCCACCACTTTATTTAATCCTATAAGGCAGATGTAATAATTCCATTTTCAGATGAGAAAAAAGAGGGTTTGAAAATTATATTATTTGTTTGTAATCACATAGTAAAAGCAAGAGCAAATAGTTGCACCCACATTTTGTTCTGAAGCTGTGTTTGGCTTTAGGACAAAGGACTTTTTAAGGTATTTCCTATGTGTGACTCTACCCAGCCTTGAAATCTAACTGTGTGTGGGACTCATTTCCCTGCCCTGGAAAATTGTCTTTAGGTAAGTTGCCAGAGCCAGGTCTGAAACTCAAGTGTATAAAATGAGTCCAGCAATATTTTAACAAATGATCCATATAGACTGAATCTTAAATCCCAAAACAAGAGACACACGTATGATGATAACCTAGCTAGGAAATTCAGCTTTCAGGACAATGAGAAATGTTGGGGGAAAATTTTATTTTCAGTAGTACAAGACTCCAATCAATAATTTCATTCATAATTTACTTTAAGGGGAGAGAAGCAAAATGAACTCATGTGACCAAATTCCATGGGGAAACAAATCTCCTTCGTTCTCATAAACCGTCGTGGTGAGATGGAAGGACAGTCGGTCTCAGATTTGGTCAAACTTGGCTTTAATTCCGCCTGTGCTATTTCCCAGATGAGTCATATGGACGCATTACGAAACCTTCTCTGAGCTTCTGTGTGTTTATTTTTAATACATTGGGAATAAAAATATCAAAATGAGGTAACATGAGTTTAAAAAATAGCCCGTAGTAGGCTCGTAGGCATTTGACAAATGCTAGTCTTGTTTTTCCCTTTTCAGTAAACTCATTCTGTGCCCAACAACTGTCTTTATTGATTTATGGTTTTACTGTGATGATTCGAATAATTACAATAACTTCTAGCACTTACAGAGCATGCCATCATTTGTAAAGTGTTTTCAAGTTTGCTATTTTAGTCAATCATTGCAATTGTTTAATGTAGGTACCGTTGCATAAGGCCAGTTTTACAAATGAGGGAACTAAGTCTTGAAAGGCACTGTGACCTTGAGGAAGGGCAAGAAGAGTTCTGGGGCCCCATTGCCTGGGTCTGGATTCTACCACTTGTTCTGTGACCTCGGGTGAATTACATAATCCATCTGTGACTCAATTTACTCATTTAACTGAGAATAATGATGGGAATTATTGCACAATGTTGTGAGGATAAAGTAAGTGAAGACAGTGATGTACTACTTACTACAGTAAGCATTCAACTGATGTTATATCTTATTTTTCTCAGCAAACATGTAGTTACCTCTTAGGTGTTTGGGAGGATGAAATAAGGCAGTAAATAAATCAATGCACACAAAGTAGTTAGACTCATTTGTGGCGTGGGGTAAGGGCTCAGCAAGTGTTGCACGCTCTTATTGTCCCATATCATTCAGGTGGTAAATAGAAAACCTGGGTTTTGAATGAGAGCCCATGGAAACTAAAGCCAGTAAGGGTGGGGAGGGAGAGGACCGAAGAAAGTAATGGATAGTGGAAGTCCTGTTGTGTGCCAAATCTCCATACGCTTGCTTGTATTATTCTCCTAACAATATTATGAAAAAGACACAGCCATAGACAGCAGCTTTGGAAGTTCAAATACATTATTACAGTCATTTCTAATCCTTAAAGAGGAAGAAGACAGGTTGTTTTATTAACTTCCTGTAAGATAGACATATAAGGGGCATGTAATGAATCATTGGCCCACCTGCCTCTCTTAAAGCGTGCTCCTCATGACAGCTACCTGACTGCAGGTCTCCATCCCCCCTTACGGCAACCACGACAGACAGTCACAGCTGCTTTTCAGCGTATGTCGTCTTTGGCTCCTTGGATCCAGTGCGTTTGTGAGAAGGACCTCCTGCCCTTTCTAAGGAGGCTTCATCCAAGTTGAACTCCAATCAGAGGCTGGAAACTGGGCCAAGAGGGAGTCTGGGAACAGCAGGTGTTTTTGACAGAGGAAATCCATGGGTGCCGCAGTTGTGTTGCTTTTGACAGGGAACCTAATTAGCCTTTAACTCTTTAACCACAATGTCTTCTTAAAGTACAGAGAGGAAATTAACCACCAGCTCTCAGAGCCACATGGAAGAAATTAATGTCCTCCTTCACTAATCCTCTTTCAAGGCACAATAGTAAATATGCATTATATTTAACAACCATGTTTTCCTGGAGTTAAGCCTGGGTTCCACTGAAAATAAATGCTCCCTAATGTGTCTCAGAATGTTTGCTCTGGAATCATAGACAGAAAGTCCTGTGCCCTGAACCCCAGCACTGAACCGCAGAAATGACAAGAATGGGGATAAACAAATAGGGCTTGGTGGTTGATGTGTTATCTGGAATTTATTATTCATCTTTGATTGCAGAACAGAAGGCTGATCAGGTGTGAAGATCACTTCCTAAGTTTGGCTGAGACAGAGGCAGGGGGGTTCTAAGGCACAGAAGACATGGCACTGGTTACTCTCGCGGCTGTGTCATGGGTCTGCTGCCCATTCGATGGTGGTATCATGGCAACATGTGTGTAGTTCATCATCATATATATTTCCTATATACAATATATGTTCACATATTATATATGTTTATATCCATTTTATGCCATGTATTTGTAATCATACATAGTCACCATACATAGTTTATATATATGTATTATTGCAATATATTATTTCACATTATTCATAAATATAAATATATATTCATATAAACATAAAATATATATATTCATATAAACACACATATGTAAATATATGTTTATATGAATATATTTATATAATTAATGGGTATAGGTGTATATGTATGTGTGTGTATAGATATATCCTTGGATGTGGGACAGAATTGTAGAGACTAGTTGTTTATTTATAGCTTCATAAAGTCACTAATAAAGTCATTGTTTCCTGGAGCAAGAGAGCGGACTCAGAGATAGGTCTTCTAAGTTGAGCAGTTTTTCAAACACAGTCCCCAAAGTTCTGGATTTCTGCAGAGAGGTCACAGAGAGATATATATTTAGATACATTTGCATCTAAATTTGAATCCCAGCCGTGGCATTCTCTAACATCGTGACCCTGAGCAAGACACCTGTATAATGGGGATAATACTAGTAACACATTACAGGGATAGGGTCTTAGCTGAGTGTCAAGCATTTAGCATAGTGCTGGGAATACACTAAGTACTAATGAATGTTAGCCATCACTACATATCTATCAATGAATCTCTATTTTATTCTCTATGACATGATTCAATAGCAGTATCCTCTGAAGATTATACTCAAAACAATTCTACATTTTTCTAAAAGATTTTTTGAAGCTTATTGACCTAGTGAAGTATGCTCAGTATGTATGTAAGGAAGATCAATTCCAGAAAAGGGAGATGTCTGTGTCAAGGCCACTGGGAGGCTATGGTCTATTGCAAAGAAGGTCTCAGGAAAGAATTCACCTGATTGGTTTGAGAAAAGCTTAGTGTGATTGCTTAAGAAATTATTGAATAAAGGGAATTAAATTCATTCCCTATACTGACACCAGGCTCATTGCTATCTACCCACCTCCGATATGGGAGCATATATACACCCCCTCCATGTAGAAACTCACACACACACACACACACACACACACACACACAAACACATACATACCCAAGTATGCACATATACACTGGCTAATTCACATGCAAACATACAAACATACAAACACAATTTCCTGGATGTAGATACTTGCTAAACTATTTTAGTTTTCATTTCCACCTTGCACTCTGTATAGAAACTTTTAGGCATATCAGTCATCAGGACTTAACCTTGTTTTGGCTGGTAAGACAATTCTATAAGACCATTTGGTGTGCCTAGCACGCCCCCTCCACGTCTTTTCCCCACCCATCTATTGAGCTTTCACTATCTTAAGCTGTTTACAAATATTACCTCCTTTAATCCTAACAACCACCTGGTCAAGTAGAGTGTAGCTACTTATAATTTTCCTATAGACAGTGAAATTCAGATTCATAAAAGCTAAACACACTGCCCAAATTGCAGGACTACTGTTTGTCCATACCAGGATTTAAAACCAGTTTTGTATCACTCCAAAACTCATGCTCTGTTCCAGGATTTCTTATGATGAGTTTTCAGTTCATTAATTGATCAAGGAAGCACAAGTCAGTCCGTTTCAAACAGCATATAAAGTCATGGAAACAGAAAAGAAAAAACATAACAATACAGTGTTCAGATGATGTGTTGTAGAACTGTGCACCTGAAACCTGTATAATTTTGTTAACCAGTGTCACCCCAATAAATTTAATACGAAGGAAAACAAAGAGTGCATCACACCGTAAGAGAAAGTATTGTTTTGTAAAGCTTGTCTAAATATGCATGTGTTTGTGTGTTCAGGAAGTTATGTAAAATAGAGTTTTGTACTGTAAGTCTCCATCAGAAAACGTTTGATAGCTACCAGCCTATTATTCTCGACTGCCGGGGTCAGTCCAGTCATTCGGCGCTGAGCTTCCTGGGAACCCTCCAGGCAGAAAAAATTGCTTCACATGTGTGTTCCTATAGCACAGTGGATGTTCCTAGCTTATAGTACTAATCAAATGGCGCTTTGGTTTCTTCCCAAAGGGTGTCCACGTGTATGTGGGCTT